CATGGTCGTGGCGGTTGTGGAAGTGTACTCACTTGCCCGGAGACACGCAAAGAAGCCCAGGCAAATAGCTGCCCATACCATGGCTCGGTCGGTCGCGTTGAGGTTAGACCGTATCAGGGCCCTGCGCATAGCTGCCATGTGGGGCAGGAGGATTGGCTTACTGGCGTTTTTAGTTCGGTTGGCCTGTGCACGTGCCACTCCTTGAACTGCGAGGTCCACTCTTCGCGACGAGAGATCTTTGCCGTTTTCTTTGGCAATTGCCCGGATCGCCGACACATACAGGCGGACGGTTGACGCGGCATGTTGACGCGCCAGGTAGGCTACAAACGCCAGCATGATGGTGTCTGTAATCACCTTGGTGCCGACTAGTTGGCAGAATTGGTGCAGTCGTTTCCAGGCTGTCGCGTATGTGGCACGTGTGGACGCTGACAGGCCTAGCCACTGGTAGGCCTGACCCTCCAACATCAGAGGGAGTAGGTGCTCTCGGGCACCGGAGATGGCGTGTCTTCTGCTGTGGGTGCCAGTCGGCGAAATCGGGCCATCTGAAACCGAGACAGAGAGTCAGCAATCGCATTGTCAGTGCCGGGGATGTGGGAGACTATGACGTGAAAGTTGTGTCGGGCAGCAATGGCAAACAAAGTGCGTACCAGCGCCATTAAGTCGGGGCACTTTGTGCGTGAGCGGAGCCAGATGTCGCATACGCTACGGTTGTCGCAGTGGAAGCGGATGCGCTTCAGATGCAGCTGCGGTGCCCATGTGGATGCTGCGGCCACGATGGCAAAGAGCTCCATCCACGCGATGGATCTCTGGGATTGGTGCCTCTGCCACCGGTGTTGGAGCCACCGGCCGGCGAAGAAAGCACCATAGCCGATGGCTCTAGATGCGTCCGTGTAGAGGTCCATATCGGCGGCGGCTGACCACGTGGGTTCTAGGAAGAAGGCGACGCCATTCCAGGCAGGGAGGAAGTCAAGCCACCACTGGATGTCTGCTTTGGCGTCTTCTGTGATTCTGATGTAATCGTTTGGATGCGGGACCGTCGTGCTGAGATCAATGAGGCGGCGCAGAAACATGCGGCCCGCAGGGACCGCCTTGCAGGCAAAGCTGAGGTGACCTATCAGGGACAACAATTCAGACTTGCGGGCGGTAGGGCGGGTATGTTGCCAAGCCTTGAGGGCAATGAGAAGGTCTTCTAACTTGTCGGATGGGAGGCGGATTTCGAAGCGCTCTGTGTCCAGCATGACACCGAGGAATGTCAGGGTTGTACTAGGGCCTTCCACCTTTTTTGGATTGACCGGGAAGCCTAAGTCGTGGCAGGCTACCAGGGCACGGTCAAGCTGGTGCTGTGCGCCGATAGAGTCCGTCGCTCCACCAAGGTAGTCGTCTAAGTAGTGGATGACTGGGGCTACGTCGAAGTTGTGCGACATGACCCACTGGAGGGCGTCTGCGACTTTGTTAAACAGCGACGGTGATGAGCGAAGGCCGAAGGGTAGGCATTTGTCCACGTAATATTGCCCGCGCCAGAACAGGCATAATAGTTCCCAGTCCTCTTTCCGTACTGGACAAATGCGAAATGCGTCTTGGAGGTCGACCTTCCACAGATGGCAGCCACGGCCTAGGGACCGTGCGAGATTTACGCCGTCGTCGACCGAACAGTACTGTACAGAGAATTTGTCGACAGGGATACCATCGTTCACTGAGTGGCCCTGTGGTGCTGACAGATGCATAATCAAGCGCCATTTTTGCACCGACCGTGACTTCTTGGGAACCACACCCAAACCGGAGACCTGTGTAAGTGTGAAGGGGGGCTCTTGGTAGGGACCGGCCATGCGACCTGCGGCAATTTCACGACCGATGGCAGCATCGACAATGTCAGGGTGCTCAATCGCTGATTTGAGATTACGAGAGACTCGGAAGGTACGGGGACCAGCAAACCCAATATCGAACCCGTAAGACAAAGAATGTATTACGAATGAGGCAAAAGCCGGATCAGGATGCTGACACAAAGCGTCCTGCAGGTAAGAAACGTTAATGGGGGTTACAGGCGTGTGCAAATGGATTGGCTCGTGAGCGAGGGTGCGTGTAGGAGAGATGTGAGCAGCTGGGCAGAGTGTGTGAGTGCTATTGGCCTGGGTGAGTGTAGAGTTACCGGTGAGTGACTGGAGTGACCGAGTCTCCAAGCTGGGCAACTGCGAGCTATTGGTCGCGGCTGGCGGCGGCTGGCTTTCCTGGGCATGACTTGGCGGGGTGGCTGCCAAAGCATGTGCTGCACTGGTGGCCGTAGCGACAGGCTGCGCGTTGGCAGCGGCCTTGGTTGTAGTCGCGGCAGACAGCTGGGGCGTTTGGGTGAGCGGTAGCCCCTGACCGCTGTGCCGGAAAGGGGCGTTTGGCTGCTGGCCCGTCAGACAGTGAAGCTAGGCTACGGGCGCGGGGGCAGCGAACTGTTAAATGACCTTGCCGGTTGCAGTGACGGCAGGGAGGCAGGATGGAGTTTGTAAACCACTCCGACCAGAGTTCCGGATCTGACGTGGCAAGGCTAGATTTGCTGCGTGCAGCTCTTGCACGGAACGACATGTCGAAGCCAGACCACGCACCGAATGTATAGCGTGCGGCCGCTTTCACGATTGTGCTTTGGTACTTGAATAATTCCGGACCTCTGCCGGGGTCGTGGTGGAGGGCTACTTGGGCGAAGGCTGAGAACGCCTCCAACCACGATGTCAAGTCTACAACTTTCTTTAGACGGGATGACGACGACATGGCAGATGGCACAAGGGTGATGTGGTCCCCCGTCCCCTGCAGGGTGAACCCACTGTCCGGACCCATGCTCGTATCAAAAGCCAGCTCTCCCAGTACCCTACCAAAATCAACGTACTCACGTTTGATAATCTTGTCCGTGAGATGGTCGCTGAGGGCAGGTAATGGGATGGATGGTGGACGCTCTGGGGCGAGCAAATCGCCGTCCGGGAAGAGACTCTCCTGGTCTGGTCTTAGTGCTGAAGCCAGTGAAGGCTGGACATATTCAGGCTCAGAGTCAGGCACCACAACATCACCAGAGACTGGACCAGCCCGCTGTGCTGCTGTTGCTGCTGCTACAGTTGGCTGTGCATGTGGAGGTACCACCGGTAGACCCATCGAAGTTGTCAATGACGTCATGCAGGACGCCACTGCATCTTGCACGACCCGAGAGATCTCGGCAGATTGCTGCGACGTGAACGCGGGCGACGAGTCAGGCTGGGTCGCGGCCGCGGGGCTTTGAGTGGCCGGGACTGCAGGACTAGCCCGCCGACGCGTGGTCTTTTTTGCGACCTGGCTCGTAGACTTAGCTTTGTTTCTTGCCTGGGCCGACAAATGCTCATGCAGACGTCGACGGCTCACCTGGGCTCTAAAATTGCCTGAGCAAGAAAGCCCCAGTTCTCGCAGTCGAGTTTCAACTCCGTCGACTTTGAGTTGGCGGAGATCGGAAAGTGATGGCACGGAGCTCATGGTGACGGCTCAGGATCTCCTGCGACTGCGGAACTTTAGAAATTTCAAATCTCGCCGAGTAATTGCAACAAGGAAGAAAGAAATTGCAAAACAGTTGGATGCACGCAGCAGCACAGCTAGCAAGAGAAAGAGCCGTGGATGGGTTTGTTCCTGTTTTTGATGGCTGTGGCCATCCGTTGGCCCAGCGGTCTCGTGTGAGTACGGTGTTTGTTCGTGCTGCCAGCTCGCGCCCGGCATTTGTTTGCGCTGGCAGCTCGGGCCCGGTGCGCGAGTGAAACCGAACCGTGACAAAGGCTTTCGCTCTTTAGTGCTATTGACTGGCTTTTCATACGATGCTTATTGATGTCTAGAGACATGCTGTCTAGCCTTCCCCTAGTACGCATTCACGGGGCTTTGTTGAAGTTCGTGCCGTGAACTGCCAAAGGGAACTGTTTGAATGGTGCTGGGGCGAGTGCGACATTACGGCGTCCCTGCAGCCGGCCTAATCGCGTTTGTCGCCACAACCGATTGAGCAGCAAGGGCATATCCTAATATTTGAGGTAAACTACCACCGTGGTCTGCTACAACACAGCGCCAACACGTAGTCTTGAGTAAACTATCCAAAAACATTTGGGGAAAAGTTCAAATTTTGAACTCTCCAATGGCCATACTCTCGCGGAATCCAACCTCGCGGCAGGAAAGCACATGCGGAGCACAGCCACTTGCCTTTTTTCTAAGCTACCAGCACAGAAACACAATGAGTGTAATAACTGCCCTAGCGAACCTTCAATGAAGCCGCCACAAAGCGCCACTTGCTGAACAACTGAGCGCAACATGACAAAAATGAGACCTGGTTCACAACAACAAATGAGCAAGGACTGCAACAGTTGCACAAGATCTCCCAGGAAGTTCTTGAGCACATACAGGCATAATGTACATCCAAAATCTCACAAAACCATTTCGATTGCAGTATAACCGGTTAAGGCCACCACTTGTTCCTGAGGACCAATGGCCCTGGGACCAATGGAAGTTATCTCCAGTCAACTGAACCAGGATAAGGATACCACCTCAACACAGGGCCCACATTTAGAGGGTCCCTTGACTTGAGCAGTCACCTTAGACAGGTTTCACTCAGTGTATCATCCCCCCCCCCCCCCCAACTAGTGTGGATTTAGATACAAACCACACATAAAAGGAAATCTTGTTTTGGGCATTTCCGAAAATGGTAAAATGGATCCATTGTATGTCACTTTTAAATCTAAACTCTTCACATGTACCATACCAAAATTGCAGGTTAAACTCATAAGCATTGCTTCCAGGACAGAGGCTAGGAGCAGGGAGGAGTATCTAGGGATCAGTTTCAAAAACATAAGGTGGTGCAGATACCGCAGACGTACGTTTTGTGTGATCGTAAGTAGGAGAATGTAATAAGGACATAGGGTTAGAGAGATGACATGAATATTTTGTTACATGCATACTGGTAAATGATATCAACATGTTTCTATTTGAAGGAAGTATTCTACTGTGTTCTTTGCTTACAGCCCGACAATGTCCCACTCCAGGAAAACCACCATCTGGACTGTATTTTGTATACCGGCAAAGGAAATATGTCCAGAGAGGTCCTTTCCAATATGGTGACACTGTTAGATGGTTTTGCAGTAAAGGATTCACAGGGAATACCAATGCTGTATGCCAGGCAAATAGTACATGGAGCAAAAACACACCAACCTGTACACGTACGTACTTCCAGGAATTGACTGAAACCTACTACCGCTATGTGCTTTGTTTCTACCCATAACTTATACTTCCTCCGTTAACAAAAACTTCGTGATGGATTTTTGAGGGGCTGGTTTGCGCACAAACTGCCGTGAAATGAGTCGCAATCACTTTCTTGGCCTTCCCTGGCGGGCCATGAAAGAGGTACGATTCAAGGAAAGCGGCCTTTCACAACAAGCCGAGCGGAATCGATGGTTGCGCTGTGGAAACATAGGTGACGACAGTTATGGCGAGCGAAACTGAAATACCACTTCTCCGAGGGGATATTGCGTTGCTAAGCCTCTCTACTACTCTAGCACTGAGTAAGTTGGAGAGTGATAAAGAGCGATCAAATGGAGCAGCGATTCCACACAATGAGAGAGTGAACAAGGAGCTGCTCCGATCGCACGGCTCAATGAAAATAATTCTGAGCTCAAGTTCTTGTTCAACCTGCGCAAAGCCCAGATTCGAATGCTGATGACCATGTATTCTTTCAGAAGTCTGCAGTCCGATGCAAGTCTCGTGGCTAAAGAAAGTCAACTGGACTTGCTAGCCGCTGCCGTTCAGTGCTGGCAGGGGTATCCATCAGAGAAAATTGAATCAGTTTGGTTGTGCCTTTACTCCTCGTTTCGCGGAGTTCTGGAGAGCGAAGATGAAACCAGGGAGTCGTAAAATATTTTTACGACTCCCTGGTGGAAACGAGGAATCGCCATCGCGGCGGGTCACGCAGCTTGAAAGCCAACTTACTTGAACGACGGCGACATCAAGGTCAGCGAAGTGTGATCAAAGAAGCCGAGGCAAGGCTGAAACGAGCTGAACAATGATTCGATGACGACTCGCGTGCAGCAGATGACGACAGCGACGCAGGGTCAAAAATGAGTCGAGCGAAAGCGATGCAAACTGAACTCTCTGCTCATTCCGCCAACAGTTTCTCTTGTAAAGACGCTGTACATAGGCTGAATCACCTTCGTCCAGTGATTTGCAGTCGATACAAACTGTTCTTGACCTGTTCTAAGCGTTTTCATATCCATCAAAATCCATCACGAAGTTTTTGCTAACGGAGGAAGTAGCAGTTTCATACTTACCTGCAACATATTTACCTTTTTCACGGTGCGCAGACTCCATCGCAACAAATTCAGTCTCGGGACTGCATTTGCATTGCATAAAATCAAAATCTATAATTCTTATTCAATATTTCAGTAAAGAGAAAGAACCAATAAGTTACAAGTTATGAGTTATGACTAACAGTCCACCAAGGTAATGAGATATTATACAGTCAGATAGTGCGACAACAAGGCACAACACTGACAAGGATATTGAGACATTCAGCGACCTTACACATTCGTGGCGCATCCCTTCCCCTCATTGGGGATTTTCTGCATCTGAGCCTTCCAAGTGGGAAGATTGTTGGTTTGCGCTTCGTAGATGTGTTGGAGTAGGGTTGTTGAATGTCACAATATGCCTATCAGTTTTGAGACATCATGGGAAAATCTCTGCTCTAGTGGAAACTCAAATGAAACTGCAATGAAGCATCACTTGCTGAACAACAGCACATGACGAGAGAGACAAACTGGTCCACAACAACAAATCAGCAAGGACTGCAACAGTAGCGCAGGATGACCCAGAAGGTTCTTGTGTACTGGACAGCTACTACACACGAGTGCAATATGTATGCCACACTTGCGACAGAAAATCAAAATTTCTCTCAAGTCACACATACTTCGTGTGCATGTGCGGCTACATCATGCACTTTCGGGTCCCGGAGGGCCGTGGCCGTGCCCTGAAGAGATCTTTTTTTCTTTCGATTATTGATTTTTCAACTGCAATAAAAAAGTAGGGATCTCAGCGCGTGCACTGCGCATGCAGTTCGCGCATGCAGCAAAACGCGCATCAGAAGTGGCATGCAGAATTTTTGCCAAACACTGGCTATTTTTTGCAGAAAATTGAGATCTTGAACGAAGGAGAAATGGCTGAAATTTCCTTGCAAGGAGATGGTGGTTACAGGCTACCTGCTCACCAGAATGGGATCTTTTTTGGCATGTTGGCCGCCCATGTGTTCTGGAATCGATTTGTAGCTTTCGTTGGAAGGCGCGAAGCCGTTTTCGTTCCAAACGACAGGGTTCTTTCAGAGCGGAAAATGGCGACCATGCCGATCGTTGCCACGATCTCCGAGTTGAAAATCTCTGGATTTAACTGGGGAAAAGCTCTGGATTCAATGGTAAACCCGGCAGAAATACTTGATGTTGGATGTTGAGAGCTTGCAGGAAATTTGACCGAAGCGTTCATGCTCCACGTGACGGTGTTCGTTCTTGTGAATTTCTGCATTTCTGACATATCGCCGTGCATATGGGCCGTTGTTCCAGAGACATCGATTGTCAGGTGTGGATAGGGTTTTGTTCGAGTAGTCGTGTGGAGACGTGGTTTGGTTCTCACAGGCAACAGGAGCGGCTCCTCAGGATGGCGAAAGCCAAATCTACCCAAAGCCGACTTCACGATCGCCGATCTTCTGGCGGCGCATTTTCACTGATGCTCTGCAACAAGCGGCACAAGCTGTGGAAATCGTCAGATGATATTAGCCTATCAGTGTGCCCAGAACTTCTAGTGACTCTACTGAAGCATTAGCTTGAGTAATCTTTCTTTCTAGCCCTCTCTTTCTCTCTCTCTCTCTGTCCCTCTCTTTCTCTCTAAAAATGTTCCAAACTTCAAAATCTAGGTCGAGCGGCATCGGGGAGTCGTCAAATACCGACTCACTGAGCCGGTTTTTGGCGATCGCCATTTTTTTTCAGTCTGCCATCGCCGTGTTGAAAAATCGATTACATCATTGAATGCGCGAAGCCCTGCGCAGTGTCCGCGCTGACATCCCTACAATAAGTCCCTAAAGAGGAAGTTAAGGCAAAAATCAAAATTTCACCAGTTGTAGTCTTCGGGGTGCTGAGTCGAATGGTCTTGGTCCGAGAAAGCTGAGACGCTCCCTTCCTACTTGAATCCCAATCGAACTCGCGCACTTCCACTGAAACTGGGTGACTGCGCCCTACTAGATGGGGATTTGTATGCAAAATGTCACTAAAAGCGCCATTTCGTTCTTATAAAAACACGGATGACCGCGATTGGCCCATATGTTGTAGTCTTTTGGACCCTGAGTCGACTGGTCTTGGTCCGAAAAGGCTGCGATGCAGCGTTCCTCCTTTATTCCCAATCGAACATGATTGAAGAAGCGGCCACGTGCTCCTGGGTGCCCGAATCACCTGGTCACCACGCCAGCAGGCGACAACTTTCGCACCAAGGTTCAACTCGAGTTCAACTCGAGTGACAGGAGTGCACCCAAAAAAGGTCAAACAGGCTAGTAAGTTGTACCCTGCAGGCACGGTGACCAGATGACTGGTATACGCAGGAGCACGTGACCGCTTGTTCAACCATGTTCGATTGGGAATAAAGGAGGAACGCTGCATCGCAGCCTTTTCGGACCAAAACCAGTCGACTCAGCGTCCAAAAGACTACAACATATGGGCCAATCGCGGTCATCCGTGCTTTTATAAGAACGAAATGGCGCTTTTAGTGACATTTTGCATACAAATCCCCATCTCGTAGGGCGCAGTCACCCAGTTTCGGTGGAAGTGCGCGAGTTCGATTGGGATTAAAGTAGGAAGGGAGCGTCTCAGCTTCCTCGGACCACGACCATTCGACTCAGCACCACGAAGACTACAACTACAGTCCCATGCAAAACTATGGACGAGTAGTGTTTTGCAAAATTCGATGGGATTTATTTAAATATTTTTAGTTTTTCTCCAGATTCCGTCTCTGCATCGCTTCACAATTCTGGCTATGTACTTTGTTTTCGCTACAATTGAAGTTTATTTTTAGGCCAGGTTTTCCGGTTTTACATGTAATTTCTGTTTTGAAGGGTTTGACCAGTTTGTTTTGGATGTTTGCTCCTGCTGAGACAGTGCTGCGCCCGGGCCATCGCGGGTGCATTTTTGTACGGGTCCTGGTAGCCTCGTGGTTTCGATCCGTGATTTCCAGTACAAGTGTGGGGTATTCGAATCCCATCACGCCTCCTGCCTTTTTTCTCTTCTTTTCTGCATGTTTTGGATCTTGTTGGGTGAAATACAGTAGAGATGATAATTATATTTTCTCTTTTTGATTTGATTTGAGCCTCCCTGTTCCCTTCGCCTGACACAACGAGTGACAGTGGTTTCACTCACGCCAGTTCCAAGGTGAGTTCGACGACGAGGATTTTGGATACTCAAGCGTCAATTAAAATCCAGCTCTTGTTCGAGGAAACAATGAACACGACTAATCATATCTTTCTCGGCATCACTGAGATTCTTACGGGCCTTGGAAGCCATTACAGTCAGGCACTCAGAAAATGCAAACAAGAAGAAGATTCATTTGAGACTTTCATTTCTTTTGAGACTTTCCTCACACCTTTTCATTTGCGACTTTGCGTGTTTTGCATCTTTTGTATTTCCCGCGGCGACGAAGAAAAACCTGAAAAACACATCTGAAAACCAGAAAACACTCATGCAAAACTCACGGCTGTCGCGCGCTACAGTGCGTACGGCTCGTACATATGAGTTCACGCATCTATAGTTTTGAAATGGACTGTAGTGAAATTTTGATTTTGGCCTTAACTTCCCCATTAACCCTTTGTGACCCCATCGATCGATATCGATCGATTGGTATACAGTGGCACTAAAAAATTATATCTCTGGTGTTCCTTCACCGATTTTCATAAACAAAGCATCTACGTTTCGAGAGGAAACTTGGCTATCACGTCGAAGTTATCCGAAGTCTCTACGCGGTACGATGCCGCCGTGGTGAGATTCGAGGTAGGAGGAAAACTGAAAAATTCACTCCGATCGAAAAATTCAAATGTTCACACTGCACTTGGCAGGGGTTTCCCCGGCCTGCTACGTCATACTCAAGCATGCAGCACACCAACATTTTGCGCTTGAAACGAGCTTTCCGCTGTAGTTTGTTT